TATTTTTGATATCTGCATGAGACCAGAAAAAGCAAAATTCTGTTACTTGTTGTGGTGGTTTTGTAGCCCATATGTATTTCATTTTATCTAGCATATCCACCACTCAAATCATACTATACTTTTTTCTTAATACAGTTTTCCCAATTTTAATATATTGTAGTAATTCTGTTTAACTATCCCAACTTATCAGTTTTGTAAATTAAAAAGAAAAACACTCATTAAATCCACTAATTGATGGAAAGAAGGGAAAGATGAAACTAATCAATTATAACCATGCAGGTCTTTATCTCAACTACTGTACCTATAGTGGACTACTGATGGCAGTTCCTCCAGACCTCAAGAGCCAATTGTTAAATTTTCAGAAACCTTGCAAGCTAGTTGTTAAGCAGCTTGAAGGTAACCGCAGCAGGAGGACTAGCTACAGAAACTGGAAAACACTACAGAATTGGCAAACAATTCAAATTAGAAATTCACCCACCCCAATTCCCACCCCCCACAAGCCTACTGTTAAACATTTACCAGCACATGAATGTTTGTACCTTTTAGAATTGTGCTATTTGGGATGGATCTTCTGGATACAGAAAATACTGTAATGAGATTGACTATAATCTCACCGATTTAAGAATGCTGCAGAGGTGCCTAGGTGGCTCAATCAGTTGAGCCTCTGACTTGATTTCAACTCAGGATCTCACGGTCGTTGGTCATAAGATGGGGCCTGGGTTGGGCTTCACTGGGTGTGGGCCCGATTAAGATTCTCTCTCTCCCTCTCCCTCTGTCCTTCCCCTGCATGTGTATGCACACTCTCAAAAAAAAAAAAAAATACATATATATATATATATATATATATATGTTGCCTATTTTCCACCTTCTTAAATGCCTTTCATTTAGGATTGTTGGAAACCCATCTGATTCACTGCTGAGTATCTTGGATGTTTTCACAGAACTTCATTTGTGAAGATATGCCACTTTTAAGGATTCTTCTAATGCTTTTTATTTTTTCTCTACTTTAGACTGCCCAGGTTAAGAGGTGCTGCAGTAAAGTGGCAAATTTTTAGTAATTATTGATTCTAGCTATAGGTGTATAGGAGATCATCATACTATTTTTCTCTAATTTTGTGTGTACTTGAAGTTTTTCATATCAAAAACAGAAGCAGGCTGCAGCAGCCGCATCTTGCCCAGCCCAGTCCTTACTGGATCTTTCACTTCCTGTCTCAATCTCAGCAGGTATTCTGAGCTGATGTGATCCAGGTCTGCCTCCCCATCTGACCTCTAGGAGTTAACTAATTCCTTATTTTGATTTAAGTCTTGCAACACCTACTTCTTCCCTGAAAAACCCACAAGCAGTGTGTAGAAAATTTTAAGGTAAATCTTCAGAAGGAACCATACCAGATTAGGGTATTTTCTTTGTACTATAACCACAAAAATACTGAAAAAAAAATCTTAAAAATCTTCAGTAACCACAGAAAACCCCAAAGTACAATGAGTGCATAGATTAAAAGAAATTGGAAAAAGTAAAAAAGAAAACAAAAAACTTTAATAGAAAGTGAAAAAGAGGTCAGAAATGCTGTCAACAATGCAAGACACTGGAGGAGTAGAGAGAAGTGGGGGACCAGAAAAATTATAAACTAAATCAAGTAGTCTTCAAGTAGTGTCCTAAATATAAGAAGAGCTTGATCTCAGGCAAGAATAAGACTTTTTTTTTTCTTTTATAATGTAGTGTATTATTTACGGAACACAAAACAATATGAGAAGCTGAGAAATATAAAATTTACCTAGTCACAGCACATCAGTGAAGAAAAAACTAATTTAGAAATCAAACACAAAAAATAAGGAAAGGTTAACAAATAAATTATAATTCAAGAGAAAATTATCAGTATCCAAGGGGATTATCCATTTTATGGATTAGAAAAATGAAGCTCACGAAAGTGATTTGGTCAAGGTCATTCAGTTTAGGTGTTGGAGCCCGGATTTGAACTCCCTAGATGTCTCCACATATTTTGTTTCCCACTCTTTTTTTGATAGAAATGAAAGTCCAAAACTGATTTTGGGGGCACCTGGGTGGCTCAGTCAGTAGAACGTCCAACTCTTGATTTCAGCTCAGGTCATGATCTCATTGTGTGTGAGTTCAAGCTTCCCATCAGGCAGTGCACAAGCCTGCTTAAGATCCTCCTTCTCCCTCTCTCTCTCTGCCTCTCCCCCACTCGTGCTTTCTCTTTCTCAAAATAAATAAATAAATAAACATTTTTTTAAAATGGATTTTTAAATTACATGTAAATATAATTTAAAAATAAATGGCTTAATTTTAAAATATAGACTTAATAATGATGCCCCAATAAGTCTCACTTTTCTACTACTACTTCATCAATGACGTGTTCTACATAAATTACTGCCGTCTAGGGAATGGTCACCTTAAAGTCACTTTCTCTGCTATTGCAAATAAAAATTAGATTTTTATCACTCCCTCTTTCCTTAAATATGTAACTTATTTATTTAAATTTTAAAAAATGTTTTTATGTTTTAGAGATAGAGAGTGTGCGGCCAGGAGAGAAGGGCAGAGGGAGGGAGGGAGAGAGGGAGAGAGAGAGAGAGAGAGAGAGAATCTCAACCAGGAGGCTCCACAATCAGTACGGAGCATGACATACCTCTTAAGTATATACTTTAAATAGTATATATAGACTTCATAATAAAGCATTTCTTAATAAAAATATTTTTATTTATATGTTGATGACTGAAATGATCAAGCTTTGGTTTCTACTAAAGGAATCTAAGTTGGAGTCGTATATTTGAAGAGTGCCTCAAAACTTCCTCAATTCATTGGCTCTTTTTGGCAGATGACTTTTGTCTTTTAAGTTTACTTTCCTCTGGCATAGACAGCATACTTAATGGTATTTAATATTTACTTTTTATTATTTCAAACTTTTTGTTATATAAATATTTCTCCATCTTGTACCTACTATGAGCTAATAGGTATTCAGTAAATAATTATTGATTTCAATCATGACTCCTAAATGCAATTACATTTAATAAATTATGATGACAACTATGTCACCTACATGAAATAGTTTTTCTTTTGTGACTGTATTAGTGTCTAGTGAGGAGAAATTATATCCGTTTTAACAAAGTTAAAATATAAAATATTTTATATTTATATAAAATATTATATATTTTAACAAAGATAATTTAACTTAAAGAACTGTTAATTGGGCATTGAAGAATAGAAGAGCCAAAAGAGAACAATAAGGCAGTGATTTTCTCAGATGATGGCCAACAGACGAGCATCATAAGCATTAACAGGAAACTTGTCAGGAATGCAAGTTCTCAGATTCCAAGCCCTGGCCCCTGGTGATACACCCAACAATCTGCGCTTTAACAAGCCCTCCAGCAGATTATCAAGTATGCTAAAATTTAAAAATCATGGAGCAGACAACAGCCAGCACTCCAAAGGCTTGGGGCAGTAAAGAAAAGAGGTGAAATTACTAAAACTGAGAAGATTAGGGAAAGGCCCAGTGGAGCTGAAATTCAGACTTTCAAGAACCCATCACTGTTTGCCTGGTAGTGGTGTCTGTGCACTCAGAGGAGGGACCCTATCGACCCACCAATGGGATATCTGAGGATTAGGCATCCATAAGTTTGATCTAGTGGCTCAAGAAGGCACATTGAGATTAATTCTGCAAGTGTTGGGAAATTCCCAAATTTTGAAATCAGTGGCTTCTTCTGGAAGAAACTACTATTACCAGAGTGAAACACTGTTGCTAGAGCAAAACAGACGGCACTACCAAACCCATCAGAAGCAAACAAGAGCAAATCCCTCCTTACTTCAGCTGTGCAATGTCCCATTAATGCCTCTATTGGCAGAGACTAACAAGGTGCCAAAAATGTTTGTGGAATTCCAATGATTGGTTTTAAGCTGAGAGCAGGTAGCTCAATAACTGGCATGAAGACCTAAATTATAAGACTGAGAGGTAATAGAAGTAGTAACCATTTTTTGAAAATATTAAACAGTTTTTGGCCTGTATATAGGGTACACATGGACATTTTCTTGGGCATTGACTTCTAGGTGGACTTTTGGACTTCTTGTACAAAATTATTCCTATTTGAAAACTTTGTCTCTCCTGAGGAGATTAATAAGAGGCATTTAAGACATTCGTAGAATTTAGGCAAGAAACTATGCAAGGCTCTACACTGAGGTCTCCTTAGCTAGAGCTGAGACTGAAAGATCACAGCAGTAATGGCTGAGGATTGCTCAATAGAATAGTAGCAGTAAGACTTGCTTTCAAGACTTGCAGCTGAGCCTTAGTTCCTTAAAGTCTTAGCGTCAAGGGAATGGACTAAACAACTTACCTGCACACGGCAGAGCAATCTGGAGCTCTGCCTCAAAACAGGCAATTTGGTAGAAAGGTTATTTTGAAATCATGGCAAATGATAAAGCAGTACGAACATGATTCCTCATTGAAACACCTGTCTTTTATAATGCCCGGAAACTAGAAAATGAATGGAAATGAATCAGCTCCCTCCTTAATCTTATAAATCAGTGTTCTGGTAGTTGAGGGTCCAATGTTGATTCTACAGAAATCAATAAATTAATGATTTCCATATTCTTGATAGTGGGTACAGTCCCAGTTGTTCTATATGTCAATCAAAAGGAATCCTCCCAAATATTTACTGAATGATTATCAGAAGAATGCCCAGTAGTTTGGGAGAATGATTATTACTGGGAGTCATTATTCTTAAGGACCTTCATCTATGGGCATCTGGGTGTCTCAGTCAGCTGAGCATCTGACTCTTGATTGAGACTTAGGTCATGGATCCCAGGGTCATGGGATCAAGCCCCACGTCAGGCTCTGTGCTGAGCCTGGAGCCTGCTTGACATTCTCTCTCTTTCTCTGCCCTTCTCCCCAACTCGCTCATACTCACTCTATCTCTAAAAAAAAAAAATTTTTTTAAAGGAACTTCATCTATTTCTCATTTTATGTTTTGTGGTTTTTTGTTTTTTTTTAAAGGATATTGAAGAATCACAAAACCACACTGGCGAGCCTGTTGTTGAAGATGACTACAAAAAGATGGGAACACTTTTTGGTGAACTGAACAAAAGCCTCATCAACATGGGCTTCACAAGGATGTATTTTGGAGAACGAATTGTGGAACCAGTAATAGTCATTTTCTTTTGGATTATGCTGTGGTTCCTTGGTCTACAAGCCCTTGGACTAGTTGCTGTTCTTTGCCTTGTCATTATTTATGTGCAACAGTAAAATATGGCTAAATAAGCTGTTGTTTGACATTTGATAGCCAGATATGTAATTGGTGAAGTTATATATTTCACTACATGAAAGCCGAAAAATTTGCCTTGTTTCAAATTATGTGCTGTTTTGTAATTAAATTTATTAGTGGATGTTGTTTAAAATTAAACTCAACTCTTAATTATAGCAGGGTTTAATATACATTTTGTAGCTTATTCAAAAGTCTAGTTTTACTACTGTGATCTGTGCCCACTTTTAAACACCCCTCCCTATTCCCATGCCAAATCTTAACACCACCAAAAAGTGAGCAGGGAAAATACTTGACTATGGAATTCGAATCAGACAATATAGGTCCTGCAAAGAATTCCAATAAAGCATTTTATAATAAAAAGGATGAAACAAGGAGCTAAAATTGTTTGAACAGGAGACTGTCCCCACCCATACCCACCAAATAACCCCATATAATTTGGGAAATAATTAGGATATCTATTGCTCCTGCTCAGACCAAACTAATATAAATGATAATTACTACACACTACCTTAAAATCAGGATAAAAATCAGTAAATTAGCACATTTTCTAAAGACTGAAAAGAATATATTTATTATGGCTGGTGAAACTTCCCAAGTTCAATGTAACTTTTTTATAATGTAACACTGGGTCTGGAATCACTTCAGTATATCATTTGAAGTTTTAGACAATTTTGGTGCTAATTACCTTTTGTGAATTTTTTAAGTCTCATAAGCCATGTCCATTGCTGGCTGCACCCCATGGTAATGCTATATTTTCTTGTATCTAACAAGTTGCATATTTTTTTTCCTAGAGAGACATTTTCCATGTATTTTTTCCAGAAATTTACATTTTATAGTTCTTTTATAACAGTTGTTCTAAGATTTAAAAAATCTATTTCCTATTTTGGCATGGATTTTTCCCCCAAAATTGATTTATATTATGGCTGAAATTTTTTACTATGCCTTTAAGGGAAAAAAAATCAGTTCATTTTCTTTGATATTTGTATTGTAAAGGTACAGTATTACAGTATAAAACCAAATGCTTAAATTTGGAATTTAACAGTGAATTGTAATAATATTCCTCTAAGGCTAAAGCCAAGTCAGTAATTGGCCAGCCATGTTATTAGTGTGTTTTAATTCAGTACTTTGGGGCTTTATATTGAAATAAGCATATCTTTAAATAACCTTTAAAAATAGAAAATGGCTTAGTGATATTTTGGATTTTGTTAAAGAACCTAAAATCTGTACATTTTCTTCTCAAAGACATTCTATATACATAAAGGAAGGGTACTAAAGATAATTATCTAAAAATTCAAGCTAAATATGAGGAAAATGGGACAATGGGATATTTTTATCTTTGGCAGGGTAGTAACAAGTGTATAAAGTGTTTAATATTCTGCTTTGTAAAGTTTTTACCCAATCCTGTTTTAAAAATTTATTCTATAAGGTCTCAGTGTCTTCCATGCTGAAGCATAAAACTGATGAAAAATATTCAACTTAGATTTCTAAAATCAGATAATCCTGAACAAAAATATCAATCTGAGGACACTAAAAAAATATTGTGTATTTGTATAAATATAGACCTTTTAAAGTTTGACAAAAAAGGAAAGATTTTGTACTGTATCATTGTGTTTTTATTGGGTTTGAAATATTTTTATAGTAACCTTTATGAATTTGGCTTAAGTGCAAGTTATTTGAAAAGGTGTCTTCATTTGTTCACGGTAGAATTGTGAGGTTTTTAATAGAAATCATGAGATTTTGTATATCTGCATTAAATATTAAAAAGTACATTTCCTAATGCTACCAAGAATTTTAATTTTCCTTTGGAATATAAAAAAGACACAGTATGTATAATAACAGCTCTGGTTCCACTAGTGCTAATTTTGAAAATATTTTAAAAGTAACTTTGAATAGTAATTATTTAGTATACTGTCAATACTATGTATCTATACACTGCTGTTAATAGGGTACATATTAAATTACATAAAGAAATGAGATATTTTGCTTTTCTTCCTGCATTTTTTATTGGTTATAACAGTATACCATCATATTGTTTGCTTTGTTAGGGAAAAAACAGACTTTGCTTGTTTGATGGAAATAATATATTTTCTTTTATGAAATTTAATAGAATATAGTTAATACTTATATCCTGAAATGGAAAGAAACTGGTTATTTCTTTTTAAGGAATTGGATGAAAAATGATTCTCAATCATTTCAATCTCAGACACAAGCCAATTTGAGAAACTGTTACTTCTTATGAATACAGACATAGAAGTTACAATGCTAAGGTTATTAGATTACTCATGTGTACATCATTCATACCACAGGTCTCAATTCCAAGGGACAAGGTCACGATCTACAAATAAACTGGCTACACATGAATAAGTCAATTTTCCTTAAAGTGGAAACTCAGTATTTTGTAGAATTCAGTTTCCTCACATCTTAAGCTATGATTCGCAAGGTATCTTCCCATTCCTGGCCGCCAGCCAATCACACTTGGTCCAGTAGGGTCTGGATCCAACTTGCACTAACTTGCAAGAGACAATTGTGTACAGTTTCGCCCTAGTTTGCCTTCAGTAACACCAGTTGGTAGCTTTAAATTGTCTGTGGGGGGAGTATTTACACTATAAAAATTGGCAAACACAACAAATCAAGGCTCTTTTTTTTTCCTGGCAAGCCAGTTATTAAACATATATCAGTATGACACCTATTAGCCACTCTAGAGGTCACAGACCCGTTTTGACTTCTATAGATACAAAAGGAAGCATGTTGAGCAAATCCCCATCAACCAGTGTAAAACCGTATCTGGATCTTTTCCATGTGGGAATTATGAATTATGGTTGTCTTCTGACCAACACAACTATATGTGTTTTGATCAGAGAAAATCTCTCCAGGTTATTACTGAGCTGCATGAACATTAAAGGCTATCCAAATTGCTGAGGAAATAGTTATAGAACTGATGGAGGCAAATTATAGCATAAGTAAAGAATCCTTGCAAGTAGAAAGCTCAAAATAGTTAAAACAAGATATTGAACAATCAAGGGCTATTTGATTTTCAGGAGATTATATTTAACAGTTATTTTACAAATGTTTATTAATTTCAGGTCATTTTAAATGTTTTTTATTATCAATTCATGGCTTCACAAGGTAAAAGAGACAAAAAAAAAAAAAATCTAAGAGTTTCATACCTGTTAATACTTCTGGTAATAGACTTGGCCAAGGAGAATATAAGGAGAACACAGCCTGTTTTCTCATCACCTTACACGTTACCTTGGACAATGTCACCACTCCCATGGCATCAGTTACCATTTCATACTAACAGCTCTCCATTCTGTATCTCCAGTTCAGAGCACTGTACGGACTATAAAATCCATACGTTTAATTGCTTGCCCAACATTTGTACTTATTTACCCCTTAGTACCTCATATTCACTATATCCAAAACAAAACAAAACAAAGGAACTCGGGTTCCTTTTCCCAACCCTTTTTATCTTCCTGTGTTTCCCTTCTCAGCACATGGTGGTTGTCTCCAACACTGCCTACATATAACCAGTCACCAAGTCCTATTTTACTTCCTAAGAAATGTCTTAAATCTTTATACTTCTCCTGATTCCCAGTATCACTAACTTCGTTCATCCACCATCATCTCCCTAGATTGCTGTCTCAGAATCCTAGTTGGTCTCCCCTGCCTTCGTTTTCCACTCCACAGTCAGAATAATCCCTTTGGCCTAAATCTTTTCAATGGCTTCCTGTCACCATTATGATAAAGTGCTTACTCCTTAATCTATTTACAAGGTTCCTCAAGCACTAGCTCTTGTATACTTTATCTCTCTATACTACTACCATCCCTTTCCAAGACTCAGCTTTACGAATTGATTTTTCCGTTCCTTGTGAGAGTTGTGCTTACTCACTTCCGGAACTCTGTACACACTTTAGCTTCTTTAATCCCTCCTCACCAAAGTGACCAACACATCCACAGCTTTAAGACCTTTAGACATAATGTCCCCCAGGAAAATTTTTCTGATTCTTAAGTCCAGTTTTGGCATTTCATGTGCTTTCTGAGAAACCTGTGCTTCCCCTATCAGCATTTGTCATGCTATATTGTAATAGCTTATTTGTCAGTTTCTTCCTTTAGACAGTAGGCTTCACAAGGGCAGAGAACATGTCTATCCAGTTCATAAATTGCATTGTCTAACACAATGCCTGGCACATAATACATGCTCAAGATATTTAGATTAGTAAATCAATGTCATTTATTCATGTACTCCCCATAGTGCATTAACAAAGATTTAGCACTTGTTGTACTTTAGAGTTCTTTAACTCCAAAAGTATGCTTATCATGCATAAAGAACGTCAATTGGTGTATATGTTATCATTTATAAAGTTTATTCACTTTTGATGGAAGAATATAGCTATTATTTGCGTATACAGTATTACTACTATACACTTGCATATTTTTAGGAGGCAGTGTGAATTTTCAGTGTTGTACTTGGTGAAATCACTATTTCTCCAGAAAGTATATTTTAGAATGTATGTGGTCACTGATGCTACCTAAACTTCATATTTCCAGTATTTTTCAATAGACTTTTGTCTACTAACTTTTAATTAAAAAAACAAAACAAAACACAGAAGTTGTGATCAGGAATTCTTGAGTATCTAAGCTTGGGTATTTTAGGCTACAGAATAAATTCACTACTAGAATGTTCTAGTTACCCAGATTATAAATGTTAAATAACATGTATATAAAGTACTTTGTTATCTTTTCCAATAAATAATACACTTTCACAACCTTGCATTCTGAGTCTCTCTTCTGACTCCTTCTATCATGTTCTATTTACCACTTAATTGCTACCACATCAAGTTGGGAAATTGCCAAAGCAACAACATACCTATGAGTGGATCATCTCTAATGCTGGAGCAGCAGAAAGCTAAAGCTTGATATGTGGATGGCTTCCTAGGCAAGAGAGTAGTAGGAAAACCTAGGTCAAGACCAAACCCTGCAACCAAGCTGTGTTTCTCCTTTGTTGCCTTGACTATTGCATAAATTAGAGTTATTGAATGAGCTCTGCAGGGGCCTGCTAAGATCCAGAACTTAGTCATACACACGCCTATTAAATTTGACTTATCTTTCCAGCAGTTAAAGTTGTATCATTTAGCCTTTCAGCAACTTAATATTAGTTGGAAGTTTCCTTGATAGCTTTCCAATGCACTACAGAATACAATGAATTTTATCATAAGATCATGGTCCTTTTTTGATATTGGCTTACTCCTTTATTATGAGGCTAATTGAGGTATATACTTTAGTGTTAGGGTTTTTTTTTTAACAAATGAATGAACATTCTATATATAATATACTTCTTTATACCATAATATCTTAAGACAAAAATCTTAAGAGTTATTTTTCAAGGATAGGGGATGGGATATGTAAAACTTCTATCAATATTTGAGTACACACACTATCTTCTCTGTCTGAATGCCCTTCTCTGTCTGCTATGGTTGCTTCTGTTGTATAATTTCTTAGTTTTACATATGTAATATCAAAAATATTTATGATTTCCTTATTTAATGTATTTCCAGCTTTAACAGGCACATGAATATATATATAAATGCAATATACAAGCAAAGGCTAAGAAGCAACAATTACAAAAGGAAAATACACTGCTTAGATGTTGGCTTGGGAGCCTTAACTTAAATAAATTGGCCTTGCACAAAACTATAAAGGTGATTTCTCATATAAAGTAAAGCATTTCTTCAAATACTAATTAGAACAGTGGCTTTCAAAGATTTTTAGTTTGTCTGCCCTAAGTGAAATCTCACATGAATAGCCAATATCAATAAATGATAAAAGCAGGGCTGCTGTAATTGATTT